TTTGATAATTTATTTCAGCTACTTTAACTTGAACAGTAGCATGTTATTTTCAATCCAAATTTTTCAGAATTGAGATGCATTTTTATATGCTTCAACTTTGGATTATTCTCTGTTTGAAAAGGGACATATTTTCCCAAGGTTAGAATCAGGTAAATAAAAATTACTTTGAAAGTCATGGGATAGGAACAAATTTAGGCATTTGTATCAAAAAAATAGATCTTAATAAGTGTCCTTTCCAAGCATCGTCTTGGTCATATACAAAATCTTGGTCTTGCTTGTAAACACCAGTAAAAGACCGACGCCTGGGAATGGTCTAAAGTATTTTTATCCTGATGATATTTAGCAATCTGCAATCTGAACTCAGTCACAAAGAGTAAGTTTGTTAACACTACTTTAAGGAACTCAACTTAGGTGGCGTTCCCAGAACATCTCTAACATTTACCTATGGGATTTGGACCCCACACAAAGTGCATTGGTACCCACTCCTAACGTGATGCAGGAGTGCACACCCAAGATTCCTCAATCAAGTTTCAACATCTAGGTTTAGTTCTTCCCTCTGTCTCAGGAAAGTCAACACACATGTATTAAACCATCTATTCATGGCTATAACTTTATTACTTTGTCATTGAGTCTGACTATGTGATGACAATAAATTCAGTCAGCTGAAGAAAAAAATTTCTGCTGACCAATGTTCACAGCTCTCAGAGTGACGAGATCTGAAGTGGTCCCTCTCCAAGGCCAGCTCTTGTATTTCACAGTTATTGAATAAAATGCCATTTCAGTCTTTAGGACAGGGACTAGAACACAATCTTCTCTTCCTCTGAGATGCCTGCTTCTCCCTTGCAATATACAGAAAGCATAAACATCTATCCCAGAATTACTGACATCAATCCAAGGGCAAGGTGCACTCAGGTTCAGAAAGGTACATGGTGATGCTCATATTATTTTTTGACTCTAATCCTTGCTCAGCACTTTCTGCAAATCAAGCTTTCTTAAGGGATTTTTTTCGTTGGACAGTTAAAGACGGGAGCACCAGAAATCACTTATTGAAAACCATAGCCTTATTTTATTAAACAATTATCTCCTACTCCCTCAAGGCATATGGGTACTAGATAATCAGATAAGCGCAATCTCAGTAATAATAAAATAGATCTAAACCATTTAAGCTGACATTAAACACTGCAGAACTAGTACGAGCATGTTTTCTGCTCAGCAGTTCTGCCGCCAAATAAGCAAAATCTCACTCCCTGGTGACAGTGGGTTATCCTCAATTACCATATCAGCTGACATCAGCATTGAACCAATGTCCTGTTTTTGCAGTCAATAAGGAAGCTGCCATGTTTTTATTATTTTTGCCTTTTTTTTTTTTAATACAGAAACTTCGCAGGTAAAGCTTCTACCTTTTCTGGCTAACCCTGAACAACTAAACCCAGATGTCTCTGTTAATTCATCCAAGATCTTATTGCTGTTGATTTGAAAGATAACAGATGGATCACTGCCATGTGATTTCATTTTTTTTGTGTGTGTATATTAATGCTTATGTCAGAACTGTTCTATTCAGTCAGATTATTGTGCAGTTTTAGGCTTCTGCTGTTCAAATATTGGGGAAAAGGTGAACCATCTAAACTCAATATTCAGATCTCCTTTATAGTGCATTTCAAGCACCCTGAAGAATTTCTTTCTCATTTGTTTTATTTTCTTCCTTTTCATCATTTATTTCACTGTTCTACTTGATTATGTTGGTAGATAAAAAAAACTGCATCATATGCATAACTACTGACTGGTCACACATAATATAGATAATGAGAAATGCGAAAATGAAAAATAAAATTTGAAATATCTTTACACCAGAAGACCAAATAAACTTACTATGCTATACTGGAATGCACATTTTCTGTTGAATCCTGGTATCTTACTGTGAGGCTGAGCTGATCCATTTCTTCTGAAAAGTCATTGACAAATGTAATAAATAATTGCTTTTTATGGGATTTTAATTTTGTAACAGTATATAACAGCACATTTTTTAAAAATGCTACTCCTGTAACACTGAAGTCTATAACACCACTGCCAAAGCCTACTCCAAGTTCATCCTGTAGAGAACTATCATACCATATTCGCTATAACTTTGTACATTTAGGATGAAATTTCCAAACTTCCCTGACAATGCAGAGTCTCAGATTCATATAGTTTTTTAGGGCATAAATAATCAGTTAGATCCTTAATGGTATTTTCAAAAGTGACAATGTGCCCGCTTCCAACAGATTTTCAATCAACCCTTCAGGCACTTTTAAAGATCCAACTCTTTGCGCCTATAAGTTGAAGGGAGCCCACCCTGTAACATCTGCTTAGGTGAGAACTTTGTTATGTGACTACAGAATTAGGCAGAAGCTGACAAGGAGAAGGCTTGTCTCACTGAAGAACAAGAAATTACCCTCTCAGGGCTTCTGTTTGCTAAGAGTAGACATTAAACTGCATGAAAGATGACCTAGGTTTTCACTGTTTCTAAAACAAAAGTCTTGTCTTCCTTCCAAATCAACTGTTGTAAAACTACTGAAAAAAGGGAAAAACTGAAACAAGAACTATATAGGGGACCAGCAGAATAAATATAGAGAACTCAACTACATTGACACAGGTTTTATAAAACCGATTTAATTCAAGTATCAGCCTTCAAAAAAACCTCTCAAAAAACAACAACATCCACCTCCGCTCTGCCCCTCCTTCCCCCTCCCCCTCCTAAAAACCCCCCAAACAAACAAAACCTCCACCATTAATTTACCTCCATTTGCTGGCCTAGCTTTATAGTGATGGAAATCCACATAGGATAGAGAAAGCAGGAGCAGCACTTCATAATCTAATTTCACCAGCTTCCTTCTTTTTTTTTTTTTTTTTTTTTTTTTTTTTTTTTTATATGAGATTAGACTAACATTGTTATATCTTCATTGCAACCCATATTCAGGAAGACTCCTATAAGCACCACGGGTAACACAGTGTTCAACGCACATGTAAAGGGACTTCTGCAAGCTGTGCTCACTGAACATTGCATTAGGCACCAAAACTATATACATACCATGAATGATTCTACCAGAAGGTGTCTTACTGTTTTCTGATTTAGAAAAAAAAAATGCCTTTATCAAAAAAAGTCAGATAAAGAAAAACCTACAGTCTTAAATTCAAAAATGCAACAGTAAGTGAATGGGAGAGGCCCCTCTTTATTTATTACTATATTGCAAACCAGGGACTTTAGCCCTTCTCATTTTTCAAATACAAAACTATTTTATTAAAAAAACCAACAACAGTCAGTTGCAATACTGCAGAGAACCATGAGAGCCTGGGCCAGTACTGTGGTATTGTAAATTAGTATGAAGTTATGCAGAATATTAATGGATGGGTTTAATCTACAGCGTGCAGATTCACTGCATAAAAGGCTGTGTTACTCTTGTCATATGTTAGTTTATTTTCTTCCATATTTTAAATCTACTGAAATTCCTGTAGACCTATTAAATGAGCAAATCCTTTTTGAAAACAGTACAACATGGCTGAAATGCAACAAATATAAGCACTTTAATATTTAAGTGAGGAAAATGAATTTCAGTGTGTTTTCAAATTGGTTTTCTTCAGTGCAGAGTTTCTTTATTTGTCCAAATAAAATGGATTTGAGTGGGTGGCAGCTTTAAGGAGATATGCAGCACTATTCAATGGCTTTGTGAACTTGGGAAGATATTATGAATAATGGATTTGCTGTGCTCTTAGACACGGAGCCACAACAAAAACAATATCATTCTAGGCTCTCTAATAAGCAGCTGCTGGAGTAATGAATAAAAAGCCTGGGCTACTGATTTAAGCTACAGGTGCTAGCATTTTTGTTCAGGTCATCATAGCAAACTACAGGACTGCCTCTGTGTTTTCAG